ATGTGAAATTAACTCACAATGATGAAATAGTGAGCAGCTTTCCCATCCGACATACTGTACAGTAGGACTACCTGATGATCGGCATGATAAAGTATACCATAGTCAGCATGGTCACACATGGCAACAAATATTTATTTATTTCATGGATATATTGAATAATACATCAACTGCTGACTTGTTGTATTCATAACCCAAAATTCATATTGTGGTATCAGCTATTCTAGTATGAACTGTACAACCCTAAATAGGCCTCTATCCCCAACAGGGCCCCAGTGCTATTTAAAGTGTAAGGGGAATAACTCTGATTGCCCTTGTTCTAGTCAGTTGAGAGCACAATGCCACTGCCTTGCCATGCTTGTTATGTAAGCCCATCTTGAGCTAGAATAAACCCACATACTTCAGTGATAGTTGTCCTTCATATCACCACAATGATATTTATTATATATATATTCTTATTTATTTATTATAGGCGTGAGTGTCACAAAGACCAATCGCGATTGAACTGACCGATCTAGGGTGGAAGGATGAAGAACAAACCTTGAAGATAAGAGAATTCACTTCCACTTCTGACATACGTTAGTAATATGTGGACCATACAGAAAAATTGTGAAGGGTTTTCAAACAACAATGTTGTGACGTCCCAGCCAAGGGAGATAACTCTGTAACTCTTTAGGCATACCACTAGGGATAGCTCAGACTTAGTGTTACAATTTTTATTTCCATTTCTGTATGTGTCCCAGGGCTTAGATTTTTCGACTGACTGACTGTGTTTGGTTTTTCACCACTTTAAGCAATATTCCAGAACATCACGGCAGGGGACACCAGAAATGGGCTTCTTCGCACTGTGCCCATGTGGGATTGAACCGGGTCTTGCAAGCCTCTTAGGCTACCCCACAGATTAGATTTTTGAAGCTCTCTTAGCTAAGATAGTTGTAAGTGCATTCATTAACATTAACTTCACGACTATCTTAGCTAAAGAGAGCTTTCAAAATCTAGGCCAGAAGGAATAAGGCATCCATAATCCTGAGGAATGTTTACGACATAATATATTATATTAGCACCATCATGATTGTAGTGGATTTGCTACAGCCCTGGTGAATAGACATCAGTAAAGCAAGATGAATTCAGTGCAGTAGATATGGGCGATTGTTTCTGGCATTCGTCATGGAAACTGGTTTGTTCTAGTTGACTCAGTGGCAGAGAAGTCATTGATTTTATGAGACAATGTCTATTTTCTACAGACCTAATAGTTATCTCCAGCAGGAAGCTGATCTCCTGTCTGTGCAGGCTGCTGGCACAGCGGAGTGTGAGAGTGGATGTGAGTGGATGTGTGAGTGGATGTGAGTGTGTATATCCATGACAGCGAGTGATAATGTCATTGAGAGTGAGTGAATGTATTATCGACAGTGAAGGAGTATGATTATGCTGAGAGTGAGTGAGCGAGTATGGTTTTTGTGCCACTTCTAACAATATTCCAGCAATATCACAGCAGGGGGACACCAGAAATGGGCTTCACAAATTGTGTCCATGTGGTATTCTGTCATACAGACCCTGAAAGAAATATATCCAAGAAAGCCCAAGCAAGTCTAGATTTCCACAGTTTCAGGGTGGTGGTGAGTGTGAGTGAGTGAGTGTGACTGAGTGACTGAGTGAGTGAGTGAGTGAGTGAGTGAGTGAGTGAGTGTGAGTGAGTGAGTGTGAGTGAGTGAGTGTGAGTGAGTGTGAGTGAGTGAGTGTGAGTGAGTGAGTGAGTGAGTGAGTGTGAGTGAGTGAGTGAGTGAGTGAGTGTAAGTGAGTGAGTCAGTGTGAGTGTGAGGAGTGAGTGAGTGAGAATGGCCAGGCGAGCAAGTATGAAGTCTAGCAAAGTCAGCCAAAAGTAACAATTTCCGTTTGTTTGCTCACGAGGATTTACACCACTTTGACGAACGATTATTGTTACTTTCTGCTGACTTAGATGAATAATAATAATAAAGGATATTTATATAGCGCAGATACCCCCACACAACTAGTACATGCTCAAGGCACTGTTTTTTCCCTCGAATTTGAACGTCGTATTATCAATCTCAACTCCCTGGGGATCACACAAGTCTTGCAACCACTAGGCACACCAAGGTATTGCGGCTTTCCCATCCTTACGAGGTTCCCATACACAACTGGGTGGACAGGGACACATAGTCAGAGTACTTTGTCCATGTTCACTGCACGTTGCTGTACCTGCTAAGGTGTTTGCACGTATTCATGTGGCCACCATCGGGTCATATACCAACGGATTCGTGGGTTCTTTAAAGTGCACAGCGTTTTGTTCTGTACACTAGGGGTTGTGACAACACCGTAAGAGTCTGCACATAAAGTTGACTCCAAGGTTTTTGCACCCGGTCACAGGTGGGCTCGATCCCGGCACCTCAAGCTCGCTGGATCACTAGTCTGTCGCCTTAGACAGCTTGCCAACCACGCCCCATTTTTCTATACTTTGGTATCAAAGCAGGGATGGTTCTTATTCATCTGTTGTGGAACAACTGCCTTAGGTGTCCACTATATAAATATGCACAGATAAATCTTACAAAGTGCAGTGTGTGTAGTGGCTGGTGACCACCTGTATGTTGTAGCTGTTGTAGCAGTGTATACAGGATTGTCAGGTCAGTGTGTCACTGGTGGACCGTATTACTTGGCAGCTGGATACAGCCACGTATCCCATGGCAGTGTGCAGTACATAAATGTTGATATTCTCATGCCTTTTCATGCAATGTGTTGCTAATCAATCAATCAGTTCATGAGGTTTTACACAACTGTGAGTGAGTGAGTGAGTGATTGATTATCAATCAATTGATTGATTGATTGATTGATTGATTGATTGATTGATGGTTGGTTGGTTGATCGATCGATTGATCGAGTGAGTGAGTGAGTGAAGATTTGGTTATATAGTTCATAAAGTATCGTCAATCCAGCGACCAGGATCTGAGTAAAGTAACACCAGTAACTGCCAGTAACACTAACAAACGCCTGCTGTAACATTTTGGGTGAAATACCAGTGCCTTAGCAGCACAGCAGGGGCGGTGGGGTAGCCTAGTGGTTAAAGCGTTTGCTTGTCACACCAAAGAGCTGGGTTCAATTCCCGACATGGGTACAATGTGTGTGTGTAAGCCCCATTTCTGGTGTCCCTGCCGAGATATTGCTGGAATATTTGTTTTTGCATTGTATTACATGTTGGGATTAAGATTACCATTTGGATTTGTCTTGTCAACAGGGCCAGAAATAGCAATCAGCTGTGCACACGTTTCCCCACGATCTATCAGTGATTTACATTTTCGGTTTAGCTACAATGTGTAGCAAAACGAAGCATTGAGAACTCAGGTTCAGAATTATAGCACATAGATGTTGCTTGCTGACAGGCGCTATCACCATGTTGATTTTTCTTGCCTAAAGCCAGTGTATGAAATAAGCCAAAACTCCAGCCAGACATCATGGCTGGTAACTTCAAAATGTTACCAACCCCAAATGGATTTAACCAGACCAAATATGGTCAATTTACTCAGATGTATTGAACATTTAAAAATTTTACCAGACCATCAGACTGGCTAGCTGTAAATTAAGACCGTCCGTGACCGTCAGAAATCTAGACCGTCTCAGGCGGTCGGACAGGCCTTGTTTCATACACTGCTAAAGCACAGTTCAACGAATGTTGCACTTTAAATGGCTGTGCAACCCTCAAAGGATATTAAGATTTTCATGGGTCATTACAGGATTTTACGAGCCAGCTTGGGTTGTACTGAGCACATATACAACAGAATGTTCAGTGTTGTACATGTACAAACAGCTCATAAATCCCCATACAGCCAACTTGCGACACATGCCCCAAATTTATCATTATGAGGATATGTTAACTACAAGGCTTATTTTCGGCAAAGTGTGCGCGTCACAAGTTAAATCTGTCGTGTTACAGCCTTTATTTTTTCAATCCACGGTAACGTGACGTGACAAGAAAAAGAGACATCATATTAAACGCTATGCCATTATATTTGTAAAGTCTGTTCAGTCAACTTGAGTATGTTTTCACAAGAACTTGACATTTGTTTGTTTGTTTAATTTCTTGAAGCTGCACTCCAGGCCCATGGTGAAAGTCACAAAACAATCTGGACTAGACAAGCCAGGGATTGATATTATGAGCTCAGATCCATGCAACAGAAATCGACGAAATAGCAATAATAAAAATAATAATGTTAATATTCATATTGTGCTTAATGAGACCCGTGAAGATCCGGGTTAGAATGTACCTTCAGTAACCCATGCTTGTCGTAAGAGGCGACTAACGGGATCAGGTGGTCAGGCTCGCTGACTTGGTTGACACATGTCATCGGTTCCCAATTGTGCAGACCGATGCTCATGTTGTTGATCACTGAATTGTCTGGTCCAGACTTGATTATTTACAGACCGCCGCCATATAGCTGGAATATTGCTAAGTGCGGCGCAAAACTAAACTCACTCACTCACTTGTGCCTAATGATTGATATTATGAGCTCAGATCCATGAAATTGAAATCGATGAAATAGCAATAATAATAAAAATAATAATAAAGTTAATATTCATAGTGTGCCTAGTGATTGATATTATTAGCTCAGATCCATGAAATTGAAACCAATGAAAGAGTAATATTCATATTGTGCCTGTTCAAACAAATTGCTCAGACACTGAGGCAGAGGCACGAAAATGCAATAAATCAAGCCACAAAGTCAGACTACGATCTATGACATGTAGAAGAAGCTTGTGTTAGAGCCTGGATTGTATTGCTGAAACACCCAGCTGTTACCTTGATAAAGATATTCAGCATGTTTACCTACATACACCTGATATACCTAACTCTATAGAAAGTGATCATGTTTCATCATATTTAAAAAACATTCGGAATAAAATCACATACGATTTTTCATTTTTTTTTCCATATGCATTGCAGTCACAAATATTCTTAGGTGTTACGCTGACCTCCAACCTTTCTGTCACCATAGAAACGCTGTTCGTGTCTACACTGACAACAGAGTCCACAACAGCGGAGATGATCGCCTAAGTCTGTCAACAAAGCAGTCCTGCACTATGTCAAAGGTTTTCATGATGAATCACCTCATAATAACCGTACTCTGCTTGTCTGAATGCAGGTAATTTTGCTTCACTCTATTCGCAATAATGTCAAAGTATTTAACTATTCAGGTCATCATTACTTCAATATGTCAGTACCTTAAAATAAACTGGTCGCTTACTTTGTTATTGGGGGCGGGGGGTAGCCTAGTGGTTAAAGCGTTCGCTCATCACGGCGAAGATCCGGGTTTGATTCCCCACATGGGTGCAATGTGTGAAGCACATTTCTGGTGTCCCTTGCGGTGATATTGCTGGAATATATCTGTAGCTCTGTGTGTGATGATGTGAGGAGTAGAAACGACGGCATCGATACCGGTGAATTGCTTTTTTGGCTTCACAGAAATTATCATTGAAATGTTTCAACCTTACATGACAAGTTTGTTATTTTAATTTCCTAATATTAAACATAATGTCTTCATGAGTATATATTTGTATTAGTTACTATATATTCATACATTCACCTGTTAGTGTATTCATTCATTGTAGCCCTAAACATCACCATCCTCGATAATCTCCAGGGTATACGTTATGATAAACCTCCACTAGACCCTGGATGCATCTACGGCTCCATGATTTTATTACCTCCCTTGGCTGGCTTTTTATCCAATCAGGTGTCTACGCTGGTAAGTTCAGCGTACCAATCACAACTCACTTTGGCATTACCAATCACTACAACGCACTTTCACTTCTTTTATCTAACCGATTAAACTTAACAACATAATTGTTGCAGAGGTACTCTGAAAGAGGTAAATAGAGTTCTTGCATATATTTTATTAGGGTTCAGACCTGTCAATTTGTCTGTATGACTTCCCCCCAAATCTGAGTCGCACTGCGAACAAACCTTTACAGCTGCGACCGCTATTTTTGTTGACACCCGCAAGCTCGGTTTTAACGGCGGCTACTGTAAGAATGTGGAGCCAGTAAAGGGAGGTAATAAAATTATCAGGTCGAGCCATAGATGCATCCAGGGTACTTGTGGAGATTTTATCGGAACGTATACCCTGGAGCTTATCGAGGATGAAACATTACATGACATTATAGAACAAACTTTCTGGATAACAACTTCTTTTTATTCGTGAGTGCACTCACGAATAAGAAGAATTTGTTATCCATAAAGTTTGTTCTATATTGTACTTCCCAACTTCTAAAATGCCACTCAAAGAAATTACATGACATGTTTGTTATTTTATTTCCCCTATATTAAACATAAAGTACTTATGAATATATATTTGTATCACTTACTAGAATGTAATCAGTTCCTTTCTGCCATAACATATTGTATTCGTTTCATTGTGTATTCATTGTAACCCTAGCATTATTGTATTGCGAATGTGTATAAAATTGATCAATCTACAGTCAGCAGGCTAGTCGTTTGGTTGTTAATGCTGCACTCCACAATATTCCAGCTATATGGCAGCGGTCCGTAAATACTCGCGTCTGGACCCGATAATCCAGTGATCATGAGCATCGATCTACGCAAATTGGGATATGAAAATATGAAACAACCAAGTCAGCGAGTCTGAGCACCCAGTTAGTCACCTCTTACGACAAGCATGGGTTGCTGAAGATCAATTCACCTGGATCTTCATGGGGACAAGCATGGGTTACTGAAGATCAATTCACCTGGATCTTCATGGGGACAAGCATGGGTTACTGAAGATCAATTCACCTGGATCTTCATGGGGACAAGCATGGGTTACTGAAGATCAATTCACCTGGATCTTCATGGGGACAAACATTGGTTACTGAAGATCAATTCACCTGGATCTTCATGGGGACAAGCATGGGTTACTGAAGATCAATTCACCTGGATCTTCATGGGGGCAAGCATGGGTTACTGAAGATCAATTCACCTGGATCTTCATGGGGACAAGCATGGGTTACTGAAGATCAATTCACCTGGATCTTCATGGCTGGTCACATTTGTTATCAGGTGGGTACACAGGTGAGGTGATAGGTTTCATCAGAGCTCCAGATCATTTTTCAACATCAGGGGTACGTACTCCTTACTTTTTCAATATAGGAGTACTGGAAAAACTTAAGAGTACATTTAGAGTACTGAGTGGAAATTAATGGAGTATCAGTAATCTTGTGTTCCGTTTCATATATGCACCACAACATTGCTGCTCTTGTACAAACAGGTCAATGAACAGTAAACCAATACTTTTTCAGATAAATATGTCTGTAAATGATTCTAAGACCGTACACCATTGCTGTGGTGCGTATCTGCGAAATTTTCTAACTTATTTCCTACCGTATCGTGCATATTTTTTATCCATAGATACGCCAATACGGCCCTTATCTGGAGTCCTGTTTCATGTTCCATGTATACTCATCAATGCTCGTGTCAATCACTGGATTGTCTGATCCAGGATACTTACACTACAGACTGATAAGAACACCGGAATACTGATTAATGCAGCATTAAGCAACAAACAAACACATCATCATGGTCAGACTTAACAATCGGGGTTAGAATTGATCTTCAGCAACCCATGCTTGTCTTAATATTGACTAATGGAATTGGGTGGTCAGGCTTGCTGATTTGGTTGACACATCATTGTATCCCAATTGCGTAGATTGATGCTCATGTTGTTAATCACTGGATTGCCTGGTCCAGACTTGATTATCTACAGACCGCTGCCATATACAGGGGTGGAAATAACTTTTAAATTGCTAGTGTACTTCGGTACAGTGGCACACATAAAATCACTTGCTCTGATAATTTTTCCACTATACCGGCCGGTTTTCTTGTTGATTTTTTAAATAAACAACATTATTAACATTGGAAATCAACTGGACACCGGTACAGCGTGATATATAAATTTGCTTGCCCGACAGAAAAAAAAACTGGACTCGGACTTCGGGCAATGGGTTATTTCCACCCCTGCATATAGCTGGAATATTGCTGAGTGCGGCATTAAACAACACACCACCACACATAGACTTAAAAAATCATAATCATCAATTTGACTACAAAGTTCTCTTAATGTATTTATACCTAGAATTACAATGTCAAAACATGTAAATAATCCTTCAAACCACAGACTAATCAAGTCCATCAACCATCCCAGGTATTGACCTACAGGTATTGATCCTAATTAACAAGGTATGTTTTGCCTTGCTTCAATATACAAGGGCCAAATCCATGTTACCTCGTTAACATGTTGTTTACTGTTTTGATTAAGAGCACAATTAACACTATTGTAAGTCTATACACAAATTCAAGGTCATACAGATATTTATCACCCACAGCTGCTGAATTTCCATGCTCAGTTGTAACTAAGTTGTTACCTATCAAAACCATTCTAAGTAGATCATAGTGGATAAGGCACTGAGTAGAAAACCACTGTGTTAAGAAAATGTTTTAAGTTTGCTGAGGAGAGAGCTATTGTTTTCATAACGAAGGGTGATCGGTTAAATAACTCAGCAGATCGTAGGAGGTTGGACTTATGTTAAATACTGAGACCTTACATGTAAGGGTCATATCTATTCTCTAAGTACGGGTGTATTTTTAGTTCGCAAAGTGCCTACACATCTTTTGTAGGCAACTTGGGATGCAGGCACATTGGGATGTAGGCACATTGGGAATAAAACCTGCTAATAGCACCCACAGCCTCTCTAATAGCACCCACAACCTCGCTAATAGCACCCACAATCTCGCTAATAGCACCCACAGCATCGCTAATAGCACCCACAGCCTTGCTAATAGCACCCACAGCCTCTCTAATAGCACCCACAACCTTGCTAATAGCACCCACAGCCTTGCTAATAGCACCCGCAGCCTCTCTAATAGCACCCACAGCCTCTCTAATAGCACCCACAGCCTTGCTAATAGCACCCACAGCCTCGCTAACAGCACTCACAGCTTCTCTTGTAGCACCCACAGCCTTGCTAATAGCACCCACAGCCTCTCTTATAGCACCCACAGCCTCGCTAACAGCACCCACAACCTTGCTAACAGCACCCACAGTCTCGCTAATAGCACCCACAGGGTCACAAACAGCACCCACAGCCTTGCTAATAGCACCACAGCCTTGCTAACAGCACCCACAGGGTCACTAACAGCACCCACAGCCTTGCTAACAGCACCCACAGTCTCGCTAATAGCACCAACAGTCTTGCTAATAGCACTCGCAGCCTCGCTAATAGCACCCACAGTCTCGCTAATAGCACCCACAACCTCGCTAATAGCACCCACATGCTGTCATTATCACCCCTGACAGGTACAACAATGATGTAGTGTCACATCAATCCATATTTAACAAGAGTCATCACCTAATCAACATAATCATTATCACCCCTACTCGAACCTGTAACAATGTTGTATAACATTACAACGATGCCTTAGGCTCTACACAGGTGATATACACATGATATATCATGCCTCAGGCTATTACTTAACCATCAGCACTAAATCCAGCAGCTGAAATCAAAATACTTGTCAATGATTCACACAAGAATGTTGATTTCTTTGGTTGAAATTGATTACCAGGAAGAGACTGTCCTCCGTCCCTTCACTAAAGCTATCACTCTTCAGGCACAAAGCAATTGATTCATTTTGTGACATTCTCAAGGGATGGCAGCCATAACTACAAATCCGAAACAAAACATTCGCTCAATTTCCAGACTGGCCGGATTATTCTGACACTTTACGACCAGTGGGAATATTGATGAATCTAAAGTTTCGCAAAAACTTCACAGGATTGTGCTTCATTATTCTTGGGTTCTTCTAAGATAATTTAAAATATAGATGTGGGAGGATTTAATGACATTGTCAAAAGATGATTTTTCAGCCTCACAAAAACATCTGAGAAAATTAATTTTAATAACAAAATTGCAATTTTGGAAATTCTCCAAATTTCACAAAGAAACATGTTTTCAGGGTTTTACATGATGCTGAAATGAACATCCAAAACATACAGATGTACATAATGGATACAGAAACATAGATGTGCAACATAGTGAGGTATATATACAAAAATAACATTCATAAAACTAAATTCTTAACAAGAATTACAAAGGTCCTGTAATAAAAGTTATTCAAAGTACTGTGATTCACAATATATACAGTACACTACACCATTCAATACTTTACAGAACATTTCCTGCAAGGTCCTGAAACATAATAACTGGGGGTTCCTTTGACACCACCAGGAAACCCTGCTCTTTCATCATTAAGATTATTTAAAACATAAATCTCATCAAATAGGACTAATGTTAAGCCTATACAACAAAGCCCAGGAACACACCACTCTGACCACAAGGCAAACAGGTCCTTAACTCAGTGATGATAATCTGAGTCGGACTTGGAACATGAGCCATCCTATGATAATACACGGGACACATCGGCTGTGGTAATTATCCAGAGTTAATCTCTCCTTTGATCTGAGTTCAGCTATACAAGTCTTATCACTGATGTTCCGGCAATAAAGGCTTGTGTAACACCTCTGAACACAATTTACAATTGAAATTAAAGGGTTAAAATTAATTACAGATATAAAGGGACCTCCTGGGCCCCTGAAGTCTTCAATGGTATTTGGATGAAACAATGACCCCGAAATCTTTTCCTTGACTTTAAAGCTTACTTTCGACCACTGAATGGTTTTGTATTGGTTTTTTAAGAACGGACAGTATTGGCTTTTGGTGTTGTTTCTTTGTCTCAGATGAGTTGTCAGCCGTCCCAATTCATGCTAGCCTGCTAGCCCGAGGCTTTGAAATTGTGCTGAGGTCAAGTGAAAATAGTGCAATAACATTCTGTGGTTTTCGAATCCAGCCTTGCTTGGGACCTCTTAAATCTTTTAACATAGGGTTATGACAAGGGCGTCTTGACCATGTTGACCGTAAAGATGACATAGAAAAGTCTTGTGTTGATTTTCTTATGAGTGACTAAGAGTGAGTTTTACACCGCTTGTCGAATATAGCCATATTTTAGCAATATCATGGTGCAGCCAACCAGAATGACCTTCATTCATTGTATCTAACTGGGGAATCATTGTATCTAAGTGGCGAACACTTTACCCAGTAGGCTACCCCACCGCCCAGTATTTCTGATGTTCCCTGGCATAGTACTGCTGGAATACTGCTAAAGGTTGGTGTTAAAACTAACTCACCGCTTTTAGCAATATTCCAGCAATGGCCCAGCGCCTTATTTTCGAAGCTCTCTTAGCGCTAATATAGTCGTAAAGTGGCATACATTAACATTAACTACGACTATCTTAAGCTAAGAGAGCTTCAAAAATCTAGGCCCAGGGCCCCAATCCACAAAGTTAAATGTTATGTTACCTGTAACCTGTCGTAACTGTATACTGACTGAGTGAGTTTGGTTTCGCAACGCTTTTAAGCAATATTCCAGCAATATCACGGCAGGGGACACCAGAAATGGGCTTCACTCATTGTACCCATGTGGGGAATCGAACCCGGGTCTTCGGTAATGAATAGCGCTTAAACCACTAGGCTACCCACGGCCCGTAACTGTAGAGCTTATCATAGGTTAGCTACGAATATCATTGGCATCTTACTGAACGCTTTGTGGATTGGAAGCCAGGACATCAGGAATGGGCTTCACACATTGTACCTGCGAGGGAAATCAAACCCTGTATTTGGCGTGACAAGCAATGCTTTAACTACTAGGCTACATCACCGGCCCCTTAGGACAAATAAATATATAGTGCAATGATGTCAGTATGTTATTGTCAACCTTAATCCACAACTTGCCTCCTAAATAACACGCTGGCCATGATGTAAGGTTAATCTGCTGCTGCAGTATAGAATACAGGCTATGGGGGTCAATCAATACATAATCACTATCTCTTGTCCTAGACTTACGTAACACAGCACCGACAATACTGTAATTTGTTGCTTAGCGTGTAGGAGGTAGGGCTGGTTAAAATAATCGATAATCGGAAATATCGTTGATAGGAAAAAGTATTAATGGTTGTCGACATGAAAATTGTGGTACAGGTTTTACGCGACGCGCAAATTCGCATCCATGCACAAATGTAGAGAATGGACACAGAATAAAAGTTCACTGTGTCCAGAGTGACGCACAATATTATTCACTGTACCCACAGCACATCTATGACTGTGTTAAGTGTTTGGTTGTTTCTTTCAGAGCAGTTACATGCATAATTTCACCCATCAATCCACATGATCAATGATTCATTCCAGGCTCTAAAGAAATGATCAAAACATACAGTTCTCTACACCGTTACTTCACAGGACCCTCGTAATGTCTGCAAGAGTGAGTGAGTGAGTGAGTATGGTTTTATGCCGCTTTTAGCAATATTCCAGCAATATCACGGCGGGGGACACCAGAAATGGGCTTCACACATTGTGCCCATGTGGGGAATCGAACCCGGGTCTTCGGCGTGACGAGCGAACGTCTTAACCACTGGGCTACCCCACCGCCCCAATGCCTGCAAGGACGGTTAAAAATAATAATTAGGGGTCCCCTTAACCCCCATGTTTGTGAGTCGAGGTAAAACCCTGGCGTTATCAATAATATCTTACATTACTTTCCTGATCGAAAAAAGTTTCAATTTTCTCACATAATATACAAATTTGATACTTTATCCATGGTCTGCTTCTAAATTATGTTCAGGAAGAAATATGGAGAGCCTCATGTGAAAGGTTTCTGGGGATCGTTCTATATCAAGATTCCCCGCAGGGGTTGTGTCTGGAACACTGGAAATAACAATGTTATTGTTGTGGGCAAAGCATGGAGTAACACAATGACAGGTGTTGACCAAGGACCCCTGGATTAAGGAAAATAAAAAAATCCAAATTTTAAAGAAAATATTACTTTTTCATGATGCACAACTTTCTGCATCCTCAAAGATTTAAAGCATAAATATACCATTCAAAAAAAGTAGGGGATATTGGTTTTACAAGATTGATAAATGCAAATGATGAGGCCAAGGAGGAAACAGATGATGAAGAGAAATTAAGGGAAAATGTGAAAATATATTCCATTCCTTTGGAAATGTTTCATCTGTATGGATATATATATTACTTTTTCCCATATGCATTGGCATTGCCTAGTGGTATGTTCACAAAATGGAATATCCCCTATTTTTTTTGAATGGCATATTTTCAGTCCAGTCTCAACTTGAATGCGTAGCAGACATATGTCATCGTATCCCAATTGTGTAGATTGATGTTCATGCTGTTGATCACTGGATTATCTGACCCAGATTTGATTATTTACAGACCGCCGCCAAATAACTGGAATACTGTTGAGTGCAGCGTTACACAACATCAAAACCAAACCAAATTCTTCCGTGACAATGAGTGAGTGAGTTTAGTTTTAAGCCACACTCAGCAATATTCCGGCTATATGGCAGCAGTCTGTAAATAATTGAGTCTGACCAGACAAATCTAGTGATCAACAGCATGAGCATCGATACGCGCAATTGGGAACCGATGACATGTGTCAACCAAGTCAGCAAGCCTGACCACCTGATCCCGTTAGTCGCCTCTAACTGAAGATCAATATTCTATTAATTTCTAACCCGTACTTTCACGGGTATCTTCTGTGACAAACTGTCCTGAACCTCTGTAGATAGATGCGTAGCTATACACATGCGCAATAATCAAGCAGCACCTGTTTTTAAGTACGAAAACACTGCATGTTGTTGTGTGCTTTGAATATGAAATTCTGCGTATTTAATACAGTAATTGTAACATACTCTGATTTAAAAACAAAGAAAACAAAAAATGAAATTTAGTTTCACTCTGAGACGAGAGGAATCTGTTGATCACTGGATTGTCCATTCTTTTACAGACCAGAACCATAATATTGGTGAGTGTGGCGTTAAACAACCAATAATGGCGTTAATGATTAATGGACACGATATTGTGTGACCAGTATAACCTGCATTAACCCCACTGTTGTACCTGCTACTGGCGCCAACAAGACAACAGTGACAGGTGAGTGTTGTGTTTGTTGAAGGGTTAAACTTAAAGGCCAGACAATCATGGCTGCCAGCTGTTAAGGGTCATCAAGTGCACTGAGTCCCCCCTTCCTGTCTGGATCAGTTTAAACTTCAGTAGTGCATACATTTCTAAGGATAATTTGCATGTTAGCGTGTACATTTAATTCCTTAATTTGTTAGCTTGATATGAGATGAGTTAGTGAGTTTAGTTTTACGCCACACTCAACAGTATTTCATGTATATGGCGGTCTGTAAATATTCGAGTCTGGACCAGACAATCCAGTGATCAACAGCATGAGCATCGATCTATGCAATTGGGATCGGTGACATGTGTCAACCAAGTCAGAGCCTGACCACCGATCCGTTAGTCGCCTCTTCGACAAGCATGGGTTACTGAAGATCAATATTCTAACCCGGATCTTCACGGGTCTGATATTGTTGGAATATTGCTTAAAGGCAAAACCATACTCTCACTACTTTAAAGGGTTGAATATGATATGATGATGAGATGATGATAAAATATTGTTTGGACAGATGGAATATCAAAAAGTTTTGAATGATATAAAGGAAGTCATTTACCATCCTGAACATGTCAACAGTTCAAGAAACAGGATCTAAGTGTATGCATGACTATTATAATGACAGGATTATGAAAAAGTTTGAAATGGCTGTGTTTGGGTTTTGTTTAAAGTTGGACAATATTTCAGATACATACTCAGTGTTCACGAATGATGTTTCAAAGTAACAGGACATTGGGTCCTGTAAATTTCAGGTGTCTCTCTGACCCATTGAAAATTCACAGGACCCAAAGAATAAAATTAAACACACATATCAGGTTTAACATTTTGTTATAATTGGCATTAAATTATTAACAAGGTATAAGATTTACAAACAGCAGACAAGTGTCACATGTCACATATAACAATTTTGGTCAAAGTCGTTGTGAAATATACAGTCAGAAACTGGTGCCGACGGGTTGTAGACTTCTATCAGTCCTTTTCTCGAATCTGCCAGATTTGTCAGAGGGTCAGACACTATTCGTGAACACTGCATGCTCGATTATTTACATAACTAGAAAACTGCTGAGAGTAAATAATTAAAATTTTGTTTGTTTGTTGCTGAGGTGACTACTAGGATTGACTGCTTCCATGCAGCTGGAATACTCTGCGGCATTAAACATCAAATAAAACAAACAATTTTGTCAATCACTTAAATGTCTGGTAAAGATTTTGTTGTCTACAGACTCATGCTGGAATATTGCATCAGGACAACAAACAAAAGCAAACACACATAATCTTGTAAAATTACTGAATTAGCACAATTAAAATCCATCAACAATATTTTCAAAAATGTAAAGTTTAAGACTATTCATTTCATTGTATTACTAGACTACTTATCAGTTGAATTCTGTTCTGTAATTTTATACATCCTGGTTGTATTCATTTCCTTTCAAACTCAAATCCAATTGATATGACATGAAATTCAAAACATCCTTGTTACAACTGTAATGTCTAACATTAAAGATTTATTGGTCATTAAGTCAAATACGATAGGTGAAGATCTCAAAGGATTTCACCAGAGACAATATCAATATAGCATCTATATGGCGTCAAAGCAAAGATCATTGTCCTTAATTCAAAATTATCAATGTATTTCATTATTGGGTTTCAATATGTTACCGATATAGATACAAAGGGTGTGTGTTGACACATAATTCCCTCAACCCTTTTCATTCATATCTACCATGGTCATTAATATTATGCTCAATCGTCACATCATATATTTGTTTACTGTAGGCTTTTTCAGTGAGAACATAACCGTGACAGTGGCCAAATCTTCTTCATCATGTTAAACATTGTTTTGATAATCAACTGGGTTTCCTTTGAGAATGAAAGAAGAATATATAACACATGTAGACATGCCTTCACATTTTGAAAGAATATCGAGAATCGTCTGTGCAGATCGAGGAACCACAAACACTGAAACTGACCCAAGCCATATCTGCCCCTCCCATTTCCATTATAAACATTCCCCATTATTGATCAGGCCAATGTTGTTGGTAAATAAATTACTACTTGGGGCATTTCCAGCATTTCCATAGGTAGTCACGCTCCAAGATTTTCAAAAATGATCAGATGGCAACAAATGTACCCCTGGGTCTTAGCAACAACAAAAAAGATTCAAGTCGTGATCAATGAACAATTATTTTCCTATGTGTGACTATATATAATGCCAAATTCACATTATTGATTTGACATTATGGTCAATGAACGGCCATATTTCTACAAGCTGTCCGCCATCGAAATCGTACGATCTTTGTCAGTTACTTTCACAGGCTGTCAGATCAGTCAATGTAGATTTAGGCAGGTGCCCGCCTGTCGACTTGACCAAACAGGTGTCCATAATTATTTCAACGCCCCTTACCTTGCAGTAAAGCTCCGCTGCAGACATAGCGAAGTGCTTCTCAACGTAATCTATTGAAATCTCCCTTTAGATCATCATCATCAAGCAATCCTCCATACATTAATACCGAAATATTATCACTGCTATAAGACATAGGGTTTAGAGGTGGCAGCCATCTTAAATCTTGAGATCTTCATTTCCGCCCACCTTCCGACTTTCAAAGGGAGGTAATTTGTCATTACCGTGACTCATCGAGGTGACTTTCCTGGGCGGTGACACGCGTTCGAATCTACAGTGAGCAATAAAACAATTTTAGTTGCATTACGAATATGCTATCTGACATACACAACAGGGAAATAAATGCAAGCTACTCACACGATTCGAAATGATTGCGATATTACACATTAAAATTCAATTATATTTGGAAATAGTTTTAACGGATGATTGGAATTTATCTGATTCCAAATATTATTCAGTTTCTAACGATTATCGGGGAGGATTGGATGGCAGAATTTGCTGTCAAGAGTTGCGTCCCTTGGGAACACCACGAATTTCGGATAGGACCCAACCCATTGTAAATTTCCGGATCCGCCTATGTAACCTGGAATACTATCACAAGCAGCGTTAAACCCAATTTACTCACTAGCTAACCCGATTCAGTAGCATAATAGAGAATAATCAGAATTCGTGTTGACAGTATTTAAATACAAAATCTCTTTTACGAGCAGGATGTTTCATACCTTCTTGTGTGATGATTGTCAAAAGGATATCCCAATATAAATCGTTAAAAAATAACACAATAATGTTTTAACATAATTACAGCTTCATTTTCACCATCGTCATGAGAGCTGACTTTGCATTACTGTTTATTTCATGAAACATATCTCGGGCGGTGGGGTAGCCTAGTGGTTGAAGCGTTGGCTCGTCACGCCGAAGACCCGTGTTCGAATCCCACATGGGTACAATGTGTTCACACATTACTGGTGTCCCCGCCGATATTGCTGGAATATTGCTTAAAGCGGCGTACAAACCAAATTCAGTCAGTCAGTCAAACATACGGTGCTGTAATTTAATGAATGCATTATTATAATAAATACCAAAAAGATTCAACTTCTCTTATACTGAGGAAGAAGAAGAAGAAGATGCTAGAAAATTCTCCACTGAGACAGATGATTCTGAAATAAGCTGTAAGTAACTCTTCCCAGATCTTCTATACGCTGTTCATGGAGTTAAAGCGTTGGCTCCTCACGCCGAAGACCCGGGTTCGAATCACCAAATGGGTATAATGTGTGAAGCCCATTTCTGGTGTCCCCCGCCGTGATGTTGCTGGAATATTGCTAAAAGCGGCGTAAAACCAAACTCTGTCAGTCAGTCAGTCAGTCTTCGCTGTTCTCATGAGCAGCGTCACAAGAGATGCCTATAAGATTGTAACACATGTCTAAATATAGCACACCACTGTGTTCACTTCACCTTACATAAACAGATTCCTGTCCATGCAAACCAATGATTGATGTTATGAGTGACATTTAATCCGGGTTAGAATTGGCATTCTGCAACTCGTGCATGCTTGTCGTAGGAGGCGACTATGGGGATCAGGTTGACACATGTCATCGTATCCCAATTGCGTAGACCGATGCTCATGCTGTTGATCACTGGATTGTCTGGTCCAGACTCAATTATTTACAGACCACCGCCATACAGCTGGAACATTCTCTATGGAACACTCTCCCTATCGAGTTAAAATCATCTCCTTCCCTAAGTACATTCAAAACACGACTAAAGACTCATCTATTTCTCCGCTACAAGTGACTTCCAATCATCCGTACCTGCCAGCTGTATATAGTTTTAACTTTAGCTCAGGAAGCGCTTTGAGCATATCCCTGTGACGTGGAAAGGCGCTATATACATGGCCTATTATTATTATTATTATAATATTACTGAGTGCGGCGTAAAACAACAACAATAAAGACTGAATTATGGTTTTAACCATGACATGGGCACTATGGATTAACGCTTTATTAGTCAATATATTGATCACTGGATTGTCCAGACCCGATTATTATTATGACAGATCGCCGCATATAGCTGGAATATTGCTGAGGGCGGCTTGAAACAACACACAGACAAATGGGTCCAACTAAAGTCTAGAATGCCGGGGCAAGTCTGGATTGATTAAGCTCGGTCATCATTCTTGGTTCTGTTGGGATTATATATATATGTTCTCTGTTGTAGATACTTATACTTATACTCCTGGGGCTAAAGGTCAGCCTAGGAATAGAGGACTAGTGCGCTGTGAGTCAAAATCGTCGGGGCATCCATTCTATGACTGCACACATTGTAATGATTCGCTGGTCGCAGCGTGATACAAGCGTCCATTAATACTGCCCCCCAGGAATAGAGGGCCGGGCTGGGTTATGCCTGAGTGGGGCATCCATTCTATAACTGCACAATGATGCTCCCATACAAGCGTCACAATGACTGTAAAGGGCCGGTGGGTAGCCGATGACCCAGGTTCGATTCCCAACATGGGTACAATGCGTAAAAACTATTTCTGGTGTCCCCTGCCGTGATATTCCTGAAATAACGAAATAACTCACACCCACTCACTAACTAAAAGACGCAACACGCACACTATCAAACGCACGCACACACAACCATGGACGAGACGAAAGGACTCATTTTATATCATGTCTCAACAATGCATTGTTTGTTTGTTGTGGAGCGATACACACAGCATTATTCCAGCTGTATGACGCCGGTGTGTAAATAATCCAGTGACCGACATATTGCCAACTGGGATACCACGACAGGGAGCGTTAGCTCCCGATCCCGTTATAACTGGTCGCCTTTAACGTCAGGCTCGGTTGGTAGAGAACCAGTTTTTACAACACGGATCTTCCCTGGGGGTCTGTTTGAAGTGGGGCGGTGGGGTAGCCTAGTGTTAAGAGCGTAAGCTCGTCACGCTGAAGACCGGGTTCGATTCCCCACATGGGTACAATGTGTGAAGCCAATTTCTGGTGTCCCAGGCCGTGATAATGCTGGAATAATGTTAAAAGCGGCATAAAACCATACTCACTCACTGTTTCAAGGGTTTCTATTTTGTGTTAGATCTGACACCGCATTACTTTTTCTAGTAATAAACTAAAGATACAATTTCTGTTTGTTAATGATTTGTATTGTCCTGGACACGAGTTTACACAAACATGATCCAGTGCTGAGTAAACTCTAATAATACGACACGGAACAGTTTATATCTGCTTATATTCACCTTATGAAGGAGTGAGTGTGAGTGAGTGAGTTTGGTTTTACGCCGCTTTTAGCAATATTCCAGCAATATCACGGCGGGGACACCAGAAATGAGCTTCACACAATGTACCCATGTGGGGATTCGAACCCGAGTCTTCGGCGTGACGAGCGAACTTCTTATGAAGGAGGAGTATACAGCATGCTGCGGCTGTGACGAACACAAAGGGGTCACAAATTTGAGTTCGTTATAACAGTAGTTTGTTATACGTATTTCGACTAAAAATAAAAATGGCCGTGACACACAAGCAGAAAACAGTTCGTTACACCCGTTAGTTCGTTATATACATAGCTCGTTACATACATAGTTCGTTATAAACGTAGATCATTGTACTCCGAAAAGTCGTGTTTCGCATTATACAGAATTTGACATCCATAAACGTTCCCTTGGAAACCGCGATTCGAATGTGTAATGGTTGTGTACCTATATATGTAATCATGCGCAAAAGTGTGTCGGTAAACGAGTTCTCCAGTTGTGACATTTGAATTGCAATTAGCTTGCACAGCATTGTCATGCCAGAAAAGCAGATTGCACCTTGGGCCAAACAACTTATCTAACACATACCATTTAAAGGACACACCTTGCGTAACACAATACTGTGGCTCGACCTTGGGGCGTTCATTACATACTTCCTGTATATATCTACACTTCTCCTTTCTTTAATGTCCCGCAGCTAGCAATTAAAGGAGTGCAGCTAAATAAGCTATTCACCAAACCCACGCTCCTCAAACACCCCCCACAATCTTTTTGAAGCATTTTATGCCACACACTCTTACAGCGTATGCGCGCGTGCATGCATGTGTATATGTGTTTTGCTTACAAATGGTAATCTAAGAAGTTGAAGAATTCATTTCCTCCCTTTATTCCTGGGTTTGTCTGCACGCCACGAGGAAATTATGATTCCACAATGCCATTTTGTAACATATACATATATTATATTTGCCATTTAGAAAGTAGTAAAATACAGATTCTAGTACATTTGTTGGGCTAGAGTCCAATCCTAGTATTCGAAGTCCAATCACCCTTCACCCTCAGAGGGGGGCAGCCGCCTAACCTGCTCAGCCACTGCGACTTCCACTATCAGAGGGGTACACAAAGACCGAAGTCTAGACTATACCAGTTGTCCGACTTCCATTTTGTGGAAGTGGCGGTGGTTGAGCGGGTTAGGCGGCTGAGTTTGTGAGCTGGCGATTAGGTGCCTGACTCTGAGGGTGTGGATTCGAATACCGGATGGGACCCAACTGAACAAAGGTACTAGAATCTGTACTTTACTAAGAAAGTGTAATCCCAGATATAATATATGGTATGAGGAAGTTATCTCCGCACGGGCGCCACTCGTTAATCATCACCACAAAAATATTACTCAATTCACAGAGTTTTCCTTACATTTACACTAGACGCCAAAAGAAACGATACCCTCCTACCTTGATGAATTACTTAAAAACTATCAAAGATATGGTAGAAGGTATTAGTTTACAAGAAAGCTTAACAACACAGCTTTATGCAAATCACGAAAACAAATTCTCAAAGGCATTCATATTTAGGTGAAATGCATCTTTTCAGAAGAATTAAATTGTCCTATTTTCGTCCATGCCGAAATAAACCAATAACAGTAATAACAAAGATAAACCATTTAAAATCACCATTTTTCAACTATTAAAACAAGAAACAAGTGTTATAGAGTGTAAAAAGTTGTAAAATAATCATTCCTATGATTTCAGTCTTTTAAAACATTTTCTGCTGATTTGCATTAGTGAAAACAAGTAAAACGTGTCTTTGATATTGTGAAAAATGTTTAGGAACTTCTACAATGATCTTTGTTGACATTATTGCTTGCAAAGTAACATTTTTCCATTTTCTGTTTACACATAGCAATATCAATCGCCAAAACACAGCAATAATCAAGCAGTATTTGTATCCATTTCACTTGTAGAATGATTCTAGAGGTATGAAGAGAGCCTAGAAAAGATGATATGATAC